CAGATGCTAATTCCTTTGCATTTCTTTATTTTTGTATATGACTTTTTAAAGAATCCCCTCCTACATTTACTTCTTGGCAAAAAGAATTGGAAGGGAGTAAATGAGAATCAGTTGTATTCAGTTGAACTGCCCTATACAGAAGGAAAAGAATTAATTTGAAGTTAGGAATGAGTTGATTGAGGGTACTGGTAAGTTCATGCAGATGAATACTGCCATCATTAAAACAAACTTTCCAAATCAGAGGTAGGAATTAGAAATACAAGGAAAACCAGATGTGGTGGCACATGTCTGTAATATAGCACTCACAAGGTCATATGTTAGAAGCCAGCTTGAGCTACATACATAGTGAGTTTCAGGCAAACCTGGGCTACAAGACTCTGCCTTAAAAAATCTGAAAATTAAAAAAAAATAATCTAGAAAGATACCTGGCTTAAAATAGGTAGTTGTTGGTAAACATTTCATTTAGGGTTCAATATTCTCCTGAAAAGGAATTTGGGTAACAGATCTTAACCCAGGAAGCAATGTGAATTTAAGGATAGAATTGATAAGCAATATTAGAAATTGTGAGTAAAATGATGAATAAAACTTATATCTTAAATAGGATTCAAATCCTAGAATAAAATAAACCATTTCCTGCTTTGGGATTTTAGAGACAAGGAGTCTCACTGTGTAACCCAATCAGACCCCAGAAGATCTCCCTGCTTCTGCCTGTCCTAGTCTGGGGTAACTGGTGTGCTGCCATTCCCAGTTCAGAAGATCACTTTCACACCGTCACTTACTTCCAGAAGTAACATGGATTTGTTTGTTTGTTTGACAGTGTCTTTATGAACTTTTAACCCACTTCCCAAGTTTGCTGGGTTTACTAGTAAGCTAGCTCAGTGTTTGCATTGCTGGGACTTGAACCCAGGGCTTGAAACATGCTAGGCGAACCCTCTACCAGCTGAGCGACATCCCTAAACTCCTAGACTGGGGCTTTTCACTGATATCTCTTCTCTTGTCAAAAAATGTTAAATACCAATAATCCTCTTTGACACATGCTACTTGTTCAAAAGACTCAGTTTTGAAATCAATTTTAAGTAATTGTAGCCACAGGAAGTGCAAAGACAATACAGAGGTTTCTTGGACTTTTATCTGTTTTTCCTCATAAAGGGAATTCTTTATTATTATTTATTTTGTGTGATGCTAGAGATTTATGCCAGGTATGCCCAGGCAAGCAGTGAACTGTAACCTTTGTGTCCACTTTAGATTTTTTTTTTTTTGGCGACAATCTTGCAATACAGCCTAAGATGTCTTTGAATCTAGATCCTCCTGTTTCAGCCTCTGGCAGAATTTTCTTCTCTCCCTCCCTGCATCCCTCCCTCTCCTTTTATTTTTTTGTGTTGAAGATTGAAGCCCTTGGGTGTAGCACATACTCATGCATGCTCTGCCATTCAGCTGTACCCCTAGTCAGACATTCTGTGGTAATTAAAGACTGAAGATGGGAAAGGTTCGAATGAGTCACCAGTGTCTGAGCGTTGCACTGCACGTGGAGTAGGAAGAAGACACGCAGCATGCCACCCAGCTCTTGGAGCTCTTTGCAAGCAGTTCTGTAGGAGGAAGCTTGTGCAGAGGATGCTACTCCACCTTTCATCTGCACACTGCTCATTGACATTTTCCTGGCGGAGCTTGCTTCTTGGTTAGCACTAATGTGAGACATAAATGTCTGCTTTAGCAAAACAAAAGGCAGCAGTGCTTATGGAAAGTTCAGATTACGGTTTTAGAGAAGATTGAAGGTTCTGTGCCATGTCACAGAGCAAGATTCTATTTCACCCTCCAGGAGATTGTGGTGAACTAGGATTTAAGCCAGGCATGGTGCAAATACCTTCAATCCCAGCATTCGGTTGACAGAGGCAGGTGGATCTCTGAGTTGGAGGTCAGCATAGTCGAGTTCCAATATAGCCAGAACTACACAGAGGAAACCATGTCTTGAAGAAATAATGATTGAGAAAGACTGTAATTATGTTGCTACTTTTTCTTTGACAGTACTGGCGATCAAACATGGAGCCAGGGCTCCACCACTACACACTATACCCAGTGCTTTGATTTATTGAATTGAGATAGGATCTCACTGTATGTTCTAGACTGGTCTCAGCCATATGCTCTTCTTCCTCAGCTTTGATAGTGCTGGAACTGCAAGTGCTTAGCTTAGTGCTTCAAGATAGTCTCAGTAACCTTTTGGTGTCTTAGGTTAATGGCTTTCAAACTTTGGTTTAGTTAGAAATAGGTATTTGTCTGCGTGGGGAATGGGTGGTTGAGACAGGGTCTCATGTATCTGAGACTGGCCTTGAATTGATCATTCTGCTTCACCTCCCAAGAAGTACTCGTGTTTGGTCATCTACAAATGCATGAAACAGATATTGCAGTTATGAGTATTAGTATTACTCTCGCTGTTCTTAGACACAGATTTTGATTTAATCATAGTGTGACCCTTGAGATTGGTTTCATAACTAGTGTCTCACCGTGAGGTGGCAACATGATGACCGAGATGAATGAGGACATGTGATCCTCTTTTCTTTTTCTCATAAAGTGATCTTTCTTTCCTAGTCTCTGAGGTCATTTTGTAATTATTTAAATATTTTTGGGGCCAGGCAGATGTTTCACTGGTTAAGAGCACTACTGCTATTCAGTCTAGATATAAGTAATTGGTAAGATATACAAATTCTAAGATCTACATTAGTAAAATATAAAACTATTTAAATGAAGTAAAATTTATGCCTAATATTTGTTGATGAGTATGTTGAGAATTACTAATCCATGAAGGGAAGTAACTTTATTTTATACATGCAAAACTAAAATTTACAGTTGATAAGCGCTCTGAAAACTTCACTTAGATAACTAGGTGTGGTGACATGTGCTTGTCGGCGGCACCTGTGAGGCAGAGGCAGAGGGTTTGAGTTTAAGGCAAGCTGTCCTACATAGCAGCTTCCAGGCCTGGAGTACATAGTGAGACTCTTTCAAAAGAATAAACTTATTAATGTTGTGTCTAAGTTCTCTAGTCCCAAAGAGTTATTAGTTTTTAGAGAGGAACATGAGAGGGTCCTGTCTTTTTTTTGTTTATTTTATTTTGTTTGAGACAGTCTCTGTATACCTGGCTGTCCTGGAACTTGGGATGCACAGAGATCCTCCTGTCTCTGCTTCCTGATTGCTAAGATTAAAAGCACAAGCTATCATGATTGGCCTTAAGCCATGACTGGTTAAGAGGGTGTTTTTTTTTGGGTTTTTTTTTTTGTTTTTTGTTTTGGTTTTTCGAGACAGGGTTTCTCTGTAGCTTTGGAGCCTATACTGGAACTAACTCTTGTAGACCAGGCTGGCCTCGAACTCACATAGATCCACCTGCCTCTGCTTCCTGAGTGCTGGAATTAAAGGCGTGCGCCACCACTGCCTGGCTTAAGAGGTGTTCTTAACAAGTTATTCTGAACCGTTTGGAGAGCATTTAAAAGGACAGGAATATTAAACAAACAAACAAACAAAAAACCCAAAAAACTTGTTCTTGAAAAATTGATATAGAAAACATTTTCATTCAGTTTGCTGGGTTCTCCATGACTGTCTAGCCTGCTACTGACCCTGTGTTCTCTGTAACTTTGCCTTATAAGACTGGCATTAGCATTGTCTTACACAAGGTGCTGCTGTCTCAGTGTTTAAAATAAGCATGCTATCATACACTGAGATTACTTGGGGTATGGTTTCATTTTTATATGAAGGCAATAAATACAGCAAATTTAACTTAACATTTCTTTATTTCAGCCCCAGTATATTAAATCGCTTACATTTCTAAGTTTGTCTGAGAAACGGTTTTTACTGCCTGCTTTTCTGCGTATTCGCGTTCTGTACGGAAGCTGGGATCTAGGCATGAATACCTGTTGTGTAACTGGTTTTTAAATTGGATTACATTTGAAAATACTCCTTTTCCTTTCTTTTTTTTTTTTTGCTTTTCTCTTTGAGACAAGAGCCCTTGCTTTGTTATACAAGTTGGCTTTGAACTCAGAATCCTTTGTCACACTCTTCTTTGATACTGCCCCTACAGATGTGTGCTCCTTTGCTTTTCTGAAATTATTTCTGAATGTAGTATGTGATTTTAAAAAGTTTGAAACTCGATGGGTGGAGGGGGTTGGCAGGTGGTGCTGAAGTGACAAGTCAGCAGTTAAATGCTCCCCTTTACAGAACTGGGTTTAGTCCCCAACTCTGCATCACCCACAGATCACAGTAGCTTGTAACTCCAGTCCTTGGGACTCTCTTCTGAAGGTACTGCACTCATGGTACAAGTAAATAATAAAAGACAAACTTTTAAACCACACAGCTCTATTCCCATCAGCATTGGAAATAATTTGAATATCTAAATTCTGTTCTGTTCAAATTGGCCTGGAACTTGAGATCAGCCTCTTGAGTGTGGGAATTACAGATAGGTACCACCACCGCTGTTTTTTAATAAACTTTTTTTGTTTTTTTCGAGACAGGGTTTCTTTGTAGCTTTGGAGCCTGTCCTGGAATTCACTCTTGTAGACCAGACTGGCCTTGAACTCACAGAGATCCACCTGTCTCTGCCTCCCGAGTGCTGGAATTAAAGGCTTTTGCTGCCACCACCCGGCTTTTACCAAGCTTTTGAGAGAAGTTAGGCCAAAGGAAAGTGATTATATCTAAAGTATGGCTGCATTTACTAAAAAATGTCCATGGTTCAGTGAGTATAATACCACATGGCATTTCATATTAACCTGTCTGATAGCAGAAAGGTCTTTTGTAAGTAAAGCCAACTATTCTGGTATTGTTTAGGGTAACCACTTGGATTATTTCTGGTTTTCTCTAAAATATAGAACCAAAAGAAGTAGGGATTTTTGTTGCTTTGGAGAAAGCAGTGGTATATTTTGATTTTTGTTGTATAGATACTTACTAAGTTGATTGTGTTTCAGACGTTGAGTTACAGATGACACTCACTAGCTTTCTTTTGTTCTTCTGTTTCCCTAAAGGTTTGGGCCCCATGGGATCCCTGTGACAGTATTTCCCAAAAGGGAATATAAGGATAAACCGGACGCCATGCAGCTCCAAAGTAACACATTCCAGGAAGGGAAAGAAGTCAAGCGAGAAGTGAACGGTGCTGTTCCCGATAACCTTTCTCCAGTCCCTCCTCCTGAGCACCTGTGGACTTCCAAGCCACCTCCTCTCTTCCACGAAGGAGCACCTTATCCTCCCCCCTTGTTTATCAGGGACACATATAACCAATCAATACCTCAGCCACCTCCTCGGAAAATTAAGCGACCCAAACGAAAAATGTACAGGGAAGAACCCACTTCAATAATGAATGCGATTAAGCTACGGCCCAGGCAAGTCCTGTGTGATAAGTGTAAAAACAGTGTTGTTGCAGAAAAGAAGGAAATTAGAAAAGGTAGCAGTGACTCTTCTAGGTATGAAGATAAAAAACGGAGAAATGACAGTGTAGCTACTGTGAACAAAAAACTGAAAACTGACCATAAAGTGGACGGGAAAAACCAAAACGAAAGCCAGAGAAGAAACGCTGTGGTGAGGGTTTCCAATATTGCTCACAGCAGAGGCAGAGTAGTCAAAGTTTCTGCTCAGGCAAACACGTCAAAAGCTCAGTTAAGTACCAAGAAAGTGCTCCAGAGCAAGAACATGGATCACGCAAAAGCTCGGGAAGTATTGAAAATTGCCAAAGAAAAGGCACAGAAGAAGCAGAGTGAAACCTCTACTTCCAAAAACACCCACCCGAAAGTCCATTTCACACGGCGCTATCAGAATCCTAGCTCAGGTTCCCTCCCTCCTCGAGTGCGTTTAAAACCACAAAGGTACAGGAATGAAGAAAACGACTCTTCTCTGAAGACAGGACTGGAGAAAATTCGGAGTGGCAAGCTGGCCCCTAAGCCGCAGTCTCGCTGCACCTCTACCCGCTCAGCAGGTGAGGCCCCTTCAGAAAATCAGAGTCCCTCAGAAGGCCCGCAAGAGGCCGCCAGTGAGGTTCAGGACACAAGCCAAGTGCATGTGCCTGGTGAGCAGGAGGACCTGCAGACGGTGGGCGAAAAGGGCAGCAAAAGCAATATCTCTGTTTACCTGACCCTAAATCAAGAGAAATCTGACTCTTCCGGTGCTTCAGTGTGTAGCATTGATAGCATGGATGATTTGAAATCCTCCAACTCTGAGTGTAGCTCTTCTGAGAGCTTTGTTTTTCCTCCAGGCAGCATGCTTGCACCTTCCACTTCTTCCACTTCCTCTTCTTCAATGGAAGAATTCAGTAATTCCTTGAAAATGAAAATCTTTTCCAAAAATGTCTCTAAATGTATCACACCAGATGGGAGGACCATATGTGTAGGGGACATTGTTTGGGCCAAGATATATGGCTTCCCATGGTGGCCAGCCCGAATTCTTACCATAACTGTAAGCCGGAAAGATAATGGCCTTTTAGCCCGACAGGAGGCCCGTATCTCATGGTTTGCATCTCCAACAACATCTCTCCTTGCTCTTTCACAACTCTCCCCCTTTCTAGAGAACTTCCAGTTACGCTTTAATAAGAAGAGAAAGGGTCTGTATCGCAGGGCTATCACAGAGGCAGCTAAGGCTGCTAAGCAGCTGACGCCTGAAGTGCGGGCTTTGTTGACACAGTTTGAAACGTGAACATGGACAGTAAGGTAGGCGAGAACCGCTGGAGCGGCCGCAGGTCCCTGGTTAGTTAGGAATTGTTTCCACCAACTAGCTTGACCAAACTGGAAAGAAACTGCACTCACTTGGCTTTTTATACGTACATAGCCATTTTTAGACTAAGAAGCTTAAAACTGAACATTCTGTCAAATTTTCTCTTAAGGAAGTGAGATTTTTAGCAGTATTTTCCAGTTTTGAAATCTAAAACCATCCTAAGGCATAGAAGCCATAGCCTCAAATGAAATTGAATTTTTGCAGGGACTGTTATTTGCCATTTGTACTTATTGTATATATGTATACACATATATAAACTATTGCCTGTCACCATGTGACACGGGTTGCATATTTGGGGTTTTAGTAAGGGCTGGTGAGCTGGGGAACAGTGGATATTTAATGACTACTTGTTTAATAATTAGTGAACACTTAGACTTTCTATGCACATAATGGTATAAAAGTTTGATATTGGGTGTTTGACAAACTGAGATGCCTGTTATGACAAATTGGAATGCTTGCTGTTTAGTTATAGACCAGGCTATACACATTGTCCGATATTTGGGATTAAAACTATAAAGACTGGGCAGGCCTGAGTTACCACTCTTGTCCAGTGAGAACATAAATAAACTTTCAGACTTTTGGTTGGGAAGTTTAGATAGGTTTTATTTGGGGTATGTGAATAGTGCATATTTGGTCAGATTTCTCCTGGCTGGGCTGGTCCTAAATTCTTAGGACAGTGCCCTAGTGATTTACACTTTGTGAATTAATGTCATGTGTAATTGTTGCATTTTGAATGTATCTAATTTGATAATTTTTAAGAAGCATTTCCGTTTAAGGTAATCTGTTTGCAGGTTAGAAAATGAGAAATGTAATTGTGTAATGCATTGAAATGTAAAAAAAAAAGTTGTAAATAAAATCAACTAAATCCAAATTATTTGTGTGTGTTTCTCAAAAAGCTTTGAACAGTTTCAAAATAGTAGAAAATTATTCTTTGTTATAGTGACTAGAAAAGGTGAGCAATCAGATTTAGTTTTCTATTTGTCCTGTCAGGGAATGTTATCCCAGCATAGGTAAAATTCAAATAGCAGGAGCTATAGTGAGGCTCTCTAGTAATGTTACCCGATAGAATTCTAGCTCCCACCAACTTCATGAATGCTTTTAATTTTTTTCAATTTTAGCCTTGATAAATTACCATGTGCTTTGAAAATTAGGTAATTGTAGTTGTTTGCTCTGTTTGGTCCTCTGCCTCAGATATCACTGGTTTGGGGGCTAGTAATCCTATTTTATTAATTTTTTTTTTTTTTTGAGAGAGAGTTTCACTATGTCACCGTGGCTGGCCAGGCTGACCTCAAGTTCAGAGTCATGCCTCCTCTGCTTCTGCCTCCCGTGTGCTGGGAAAGTAGTCTCACTACCTGTGGAGGCAAAGTGATTGCAAAAAATAAGTTGCTTTCAAGCTTTTTTTTTGTTGTTGTTTTTTAAATTTGGTACAAATTCAGTTTGGTACTTATTGAAATATAAAAAGGTAAACTTTTTTGTGGATTTCTAAAGTACTCCAGTGAGAGATATATTAGTTACTATGGAATTAATAATAAAGATTAATGAAATTTCGAAATTAACTTCCTTAAGCTTTATACCTGATCATTTTTTTGGAAAAAAATTATAATTTTTTGGGGGGAACTTAGTCAATGCTTTTTGATTTTAATAAACACACAATAAAAGAAAAAGATGCATATTCTTTCCTGCAAACAGAAACTATTTAAAATGATCTGATTATGACAAGCTGAAAGTTCACCATTTGATAGTTTACAAGAGAAATAACTTTTTAGGTTTGCTGAGTATTTGTTTTAGATTAAACTAATTTATTTGGGTCTCTTTGAAAAATTGATTTAAGCAAGAGTCACCTAAAATGCAATTTTAAAGCTTGTGTAGTGATCTGGGCTGTTTTGTTGTAATAGTGACTTTGAAAGTAGGTGTGGTTAATACAGTCAGATGCTTTGGCAAGTGTACCTTGATGAATAAACCATTTGTGCTATTTTAGAAGCTGCAAGGGAAATACAGTTTGTGATTGTGGAGTATGTAATTAACATTCAGCTAGGTGTAGTGGTGTATTCTATTGTTCCTAGCATTTGGGAGATGGAGGCAAGAGGATTTGATGAGTTTGAGATTGCCCAGGCAAACATAAACTAATGATTTTGACTGTGTGTGTGCTGGTGCACACCTTAATCCTAGCAGGCTGACCATCTCTTTGAGTTTGAAGCCAGCCTGGTCTACAGAGTGAGTTCTAGGCTATATAACAAGAGACTTTAAAAAAAAAATCCAGTAGAATTTTTCAAGCCAGGTGACTGACTAGTATCTATTGCAAGTGGAGATACTAAGTTTTCTCTGAGAAGATAAAGGGCACTTTTTGTATGGCGATAACCCAAGTGGGCATTTTTGGTTTGGCTTGTTTTCTCCTTGTGGAGAGAAAATTGACTTAGACAAATCTCTAGTGTAAGAAAATTGGCTAGCAGGCAAGGATGAGCAAGGGCAGAAACCAAGTGAGAAAGTTGTGAAAATGGTCTTTCCAATTGTGTAGTTTGGTCTGTTTGTGGGGCCTCTAGCAGTGGCATCAGGACCTGTCCCTAGTGGTTTTTTGGAACCAGGGATGCCTCGCCTAGCCTTGATGCAGGGGAAGAAACTTGGTTCTGCCCCAAAGTGATGTGACATGCCTTGTTGACTCCCATGGGAGGTCTGCCCCTTTCTAAACAGAGGAGTAGATGGGGGCTGGGGGAACTGAATGGTATGTAAAATAAATGAAAAAATTTAATAAAAAAAATGGTGTCTTTAGAAATTTAATACCTCAAAAGTATGTTTTCCTTTTCATTTTTTAGAATTTGGAAAACAAGAAGCAGACTGGTCGTTTGAGTAGAAGAGAAGTTTATTCCGTCCTAGTTTATTCCCACAGAACAGGAGACGTGTCAGTGAGGCCTGAGAAGGACTCACTAGTCTGAAATCTGTGACTTGGGTGGTTTGTCCCTAAATGTTTTCTTTCATGTATCCTAGGCTGGCCTCCAACTTCTTGATCTTCCTGCCTCCATCTTTCATGCTGGTATTTCTCTCTCTCTCTCTCTCTCTCTCCTTTCCCCTTACCTTCTTCCCCTCTTTCCCTCCTTCCTTCCTTCCTTCCTTTCTAATTTTGGAGCAGGATCTTACTGCATAGTCCCGGATCTCCCAAAAGTCACTATATAACCCAGGCTAACCTTGGGCTCTTCTGTGTTGGTATTATAGGCATGCACCAACATGTGGCTGGGGGCAAAATGTTAGTGATGGTGATTGTAACTTAGTACCAAGTGGAGCAAACAGAAACTTAAGTCTGAAGACATTGGAGGCAGGCCACATGAAACTGATAGAAATTAGCTTTAAGGGGTCTGAGTTTTACCCCATTAAGAGAGGCTGTGCCCTTCTAAAGTTGGTTATTGAAAGAACACATGTTCAGACATTGCAAAGGGCCAGTTTTCCTGTGTGCTGAATAACTGAGCAGAAATCAGAAATTTATAGTATACATGTAAAGTTAGATTTTCTCATCTAAGTTGTGAATGTTCTATGGTTTGTGCTGAATTGGTGGCATACTGATATCTCTAGAAAAATTAGTAATGAAGGTTTTAGTTCTACATGATGGTTTCCAATAGGAAATTGGCCAGGGATAGTAAAGATCTTTTTGTTTGTTTCTCTTTCTCCTTCCCTCTTTCTTTGTTCTCTTCCTCCCTCCTTCCCTCCCCCTTCCTCCTTCCCTCCCTATCTTCTTTTCCTTCCTTCCTTTTTTGTTTTTTTGAGACACAGTTTCTCTGTGTAACTGCCAAATCTGTCCTGGAACTCGCTTTGTAGACTAGGCTGGCCTCAAACTTAGAGATCTGCCTGCCTCTGCCTCCTGAGTGCTGGGATTAAAAGCAAGCACTACCACCAGCTGACTGTGAAGGTCATTTTCTAAGGAGGGACAAGTTCAGTGTTTGCTTTGGAGCTGTGCTAATATAGCTATTAACACTCTAATGTAAATATCTGGAATTGAGAACTAATGTTGGGCTGGTGCCATTCCATTTCCTGCCAGGAGACAATGGCCAAGCTGTGTTTACTATTTCCACCTAGTTCTTACTTGAAAGACTCTTACTGTGTTTCTACAGGTTAGGTGTGATTACTATATTCAGGCCTTCATTCAGTCACAATTGCATCAATTAAAAGGTCACAGGGATAAATGATTTATTATAATTTTTACAGAGTATTTGGATATTTTTGCCATGATAATTGATTCTAAGTTTAATCTACAGCTAAAAGGGGGCACTATCTAAATTTGTCTTTGGTGCTTGCCCTTGTAGTGTACCCCAGCTTGGATTTTCCTCCTTTATTTTCTTTATTTTTCCCACATCTTTAGTTAAAAACTGTCTTATTAAAATGAATTCTAATTTTAGACATATTTAAATAGACATGACTGAAAGTTTACCATTTGGTGGGCTACTTGCTTCTTAAAAGATTTTGTTATGTGGTTATGTGGTCCAGGCTGGTTGAATATGCAGCGATCCTTCTGCCTCAGCCACTTGAGTATTTGGATCACAGTCTAAAAGTTTTTTGTTTTTTGTTTTAAATTAGATAGGCTCTCTTTGTGGCGCCTGCCTTCCATCTTAAAACCATTTTAATTGTACAATTTAAAAGTCATTTATGTGTATTTAATGTGCGTTGGTGTTTTGCCTGCATGTATGTCTGTGTAAGGGTGTCGGATCTTGGGAGTTACAGACAGTTGTGAGCTGGGTGCCATGTGGGTGCTGGGAATTGAACCCTGGTCCTCTGGAAGAGCATTCAGTGCTCTTAACCACTGAGGCATCTCTCCAGCCCTAATTGTACAATTTAAAAAACTAGTGTGTGTATGTGTGTGTGTGTGTGTGTGTGTGTGCCTGCCACAGTGTACAGTGCCTTCAGAGGCTAAAAGAGGGAGGGTGTTAGTGACCCTGGAACTGTTGTAGGTCAT